ATTGGAATTATAATATATCTCACGGTTCTCTGATGCAGAATACTCCGAGTTTTTGGTAACATTGTGAAATTAATTTCGATGTTTGTATTTCTGTCTTTTGGTTCTGCAGTGCGACACTGAGAATATCTCTGCTCCGTCGTCAAAAACAAAAAAAACAACCTAACAAGAAAAATACAACACTAAATCGTCTTTATTCTTTCAGATAAGAATGCAAACGTCAAAACAAAAAAAATGTAAAGAACAAAAACCAAAGAAGTACTAGAACAGGACTGTAACTTAACAAGCAGTGAATAAGCTTTCGAAGTCATGAGAATTCAACAAGGACAGCCACCGGAGATATACGTTAGTCACACATAAGAAGGGTAAGTGACTACAGTTCGGAAAAACGTTAAGCGAGTTTTGATCAAATGTGATGGATTTATAGCAATTTGAAGATGAAGAGTTCGGAAAAACTGAATAGAAATATCAGTGTTTCTGTTATTAATGCATATTCGAGTAGTGACTTATCCCAAAGATTTTAAGACAGGGTGTGGGTGTGTGGGTTTGAGTGTGCGTGTGAGTTTAGGTGTGGATGTGTAGGGTGTGGGTTTAGGTGCGATGGGAGAACACCCACACCCACACCCACACCCACATCCACACCCACGCCCACACCCACACCCTCGATGAAAAGGAGATTCCAATCGATTAGAATCGAACGTAGCAGCAAATTTTTCTTTTCTTTTTTTCATTCGAAATCGAAGACGTTCTCTTCGTGCTTCTTCATCCCATAAATATCTTCAAATAAAAATATTAAAAAAAAAGAGAATTATTTTATTTATTTAACTTACTCATAAAGATCACGTCGAGTGTTCAGTGATTTAGTAATAAAAAGTCTTTGCGAATATTTTGGAGCTATACTTGATTTAGGTACAGGTTGAGCCCAATATTGATTTAACCAATACATTTCTTTCCAAAGTATATTCTTTTTTGTATCTTCATCATTTATTTGGTCAAGTGATTGAGTTACATGACGAAGAAGTGTCCATTGGAGAACAGAAATAACTGTTGAACGTTCTGTTTTTGTTTTCACTACCTGTTCCCATCCACGATGACGAACAAGCGTCTTTTCTTTTCTTTTTTCGTTGAAATAGCATCTTTTTAGTTAGAAGAACTTTCTCTTCTCTATGTATTCTCATAGTTTTCATTTATTCGATATTAATGTAGAAATAATTTTACGAGAAAAGATGCCGCAACTAGTCAGTAACAAAAAGGTTTGAGCAATACGTTTTAGTCTTAAAAAAATTAACATTGAAGAACAATCAATTGCTTATACATCGATATTTCAGAAATAAATCGTCTTCCAGCAATAAAGCTATCCGCATCTAATCAATGCGAACTTCTATACAATTAAACTATTTCTCTTATGAATGGTATTTGTAGATACATGCTGTGATTTAGTATTAACCCCTCTTCTGTCCTAATATTAACAAACTTTGAGTTTCTTTTCATACAATATCTAATTATGTATCTTCAATGACAATGTTCAATCAATATTCGACTCTAAATGATATTATCTCGAAAAATACTCCATCTTCACTTTCAAAGCTGATTCTTTTCTTTTAACTAAAATAAAATAAACTAATATATCAAATACAATTTCAATGTTCCAAGAAAATAGATCGATTTAAGTTCAATTTTAAAAGTCTTGTTTTTGATTTATAAAAAGTATACGATTCATTTCTCAGTAAATAACTTACCTGTTTGATTTCTTTTTCTCGGAAGAAAACATTTTTCATCGTATATTTATATCTTATTTAATAAATAATTCATTGTTTTTCTTTTCAATCAAAAGATTGACATCAATTGGAATCTGTTCCATATAGAATTCAACGCGAATTCAAAAAATTCTTTTTGTTTTTCGAGAGTAAAATGCTTATTGATACAGTTTCTGTTCATTCTGAAATGCACAAGCAACATATAAGAATAAAAAGGCCATCATGAATACGAAAAAACGAAATACAAGAAAGCTTCAGCAAAGAAATGCAAAACAATAAATAAAATTTATATGTCACAGGGAAAAGATTGTATCTTTGAACGAGTTTTTCTCAAAACCAGTTGCTGTAAAGAAGCAAAAATTCGAACCTAATGTTTCTTCTCAAGAAAGACTCTTCTTAAAAGAAGTGTGGCTGTGAAAAAAACTACAGAATCCGAAATCTGGACTTGAGCTTCCAATCATAATTAAATTGTTAGTGAGTTTAATAACATTTCGACAAGGAAGATTTTATTCAAGTGTAAGGTGTATTACTAATGAAATATTGCCTTTCATAGATCAAATTTCCCAATATCTATATAATTAGACTTAACAATACGAAGGATTTCGATAAACAATTTGAAGCTCTTCAAATGAAATTTTACGTTTTTCTTGATATTCAAATTCTCCTATTGGGTGGAACAAGACAAATGTATGTAGTTTTTTCATCAATTTAATGACTAGATCGAATGAGAGTTAGACATTTATTACTAAATCTCTCTTAAAATAATCAACTTTATTGCCTTCGGTATATCGAGGGTGTGGGTGGGTGTAGGTGTGACGGAGTTGAATAGAAGAGAAACACCCACACTCTCCTTGTGGTTTGCACGGGGTCTCGCTATTTTATATAATGATTACACGTTTACATGACAATTCCAAAACTATATACAATTGCAATGATGTGTTTGTATTAAAGAAAAATACTGTTGAAAATTTGATATAAAGTGTGAATAAAAAACACAGAGTTAGATGAACTGTAGGTGGTATGACAATGATTACTAATCAGTGCGAATATCCTTCGATTAAGAATATTACGATCTTAAATCACCGTAGTTTTACATTGTCTTGCTAAACTGCTGAACTATGTCTCAAATGCAGTGAATAGATTATACAAGGTTTCTCGATTTCTGTTATTGAACACACAATATTCATCCTTCTGCAATCAATTATGTAAATCATTGAAAAATGTAATTCATATAGTGTAAGAGTTAACCAAAAGCACGAGAGTATAGTTTTATTTACATATATTCTTTTATTGAAACAATTTATAACAAAGGAAAATATTTACAAAAATTTTTTGGAGAAACAAATTTTTGACATACAAGGCTTGTCAATTTACCAAAATTAAAGTGTTGGATCATTGGTAAAATTGTTTGTTATTGTTGTGAGTGATTTGTTGTTTATGGAAAGATTTACCAAACAAGGTAGATGCATATTTTTTTCCAACAGAAATAATTCAGCATAGTCAACATGTGCCTTTTCTAAGTCAAGAAATGTGAGATAAGGAAATGTAATTAATGTTGATGAATCTTGCTTGTCGTCTTGTCGATTATCATTACATATATATAAAAATTTGAAGAAAGGAAATTCTTGAGCGATGAATTTAAATAATTTATGTTCAAATGGAATTCCATCACTCATCTTCAATTTTCGAACTTTATGAAACATGCCACGTTGAAAAGAATTTTGGGGATAAACATAAAATTCGAAATCATACGGAAGTGAATAGATATGGCATTCGCTATATCTAGAACATACGTTAGTATTAACATATGAAGCTACTTTTTGATAACCTCTTCCGATGAAACTACGTTGAATATCTTCATTCGATTGAAGTTCAACTTCAACATTCATGTCGTAGACCTCGGACTTGATATTAAATGTAAATTTCTTTAATTGTGTCATATAAATAAGAAATTGATCATATAATTGAATACCATCAATATAAGTTGAATTCAATCTTCCAACTAATAGATATAATTTCAATTCTTCAAGATTTATCATTCAACAAAATAATGGAACAATTAATTCATCATATTCAAATGTCGTACTTTGTACAGTGAATGAAAGACATTTCAATTGAGGAAGTTTTTTCTATAAAAAAAACAGAAAATTCGAAATATTTATTTAATTATTTGATTTAATGTTGTTTTCTTCTAAACACAATCATTGAAATAATATACTTACTGTTGGATCAATACGTAGACATATATGAAAAATTTGTCCAATATTAATAATTAATGTTGATAAACAAACGAAAGGTCCATCAAGTATATAGAGACAATCAATTAAACTCACAACATTAATTTTCAATTTCATTAAAGTTGAAGATATAAAAATCTCCAATATAACATGGAAAATAAGACTCTGAAACTGTCGTGTAGGAAACATATCACAAAAATTCAATGCAATTAATTTTTTACATAAAGATAAGATTAATGCAAACATATTTGAAACAATTTCCGAGCAGAGTTCAACTGGTTTTATAATATCAATATTCAAATGAGTTATTTGTTTGGTCAAAAGATCACGGAGAATTAAATCATCTAAATTTAGAAAATAAAAGAAAAGATAATTATTTAAGTGCGTTACTTTTTTTCAATCGTAAAAACAATATAAAATCCTATACCTGTTAAATATCGATGAAGTGTTATTTCGTGAAAATTTACAAGTGATAATGAATAAAGTTGAGGATAATTGGCAGCATAAAGCATTTGTTTCATTGAATGCTCTTCAACAGTGAGTTTATGTACTTGTAAATGAATTTGAGGTAAGATATTCGAACAAATTGTTGAAATAACTTGAGTATCCATAGAAGAAGGTTTATCTGAAGTGAGGCTCATGGTAGAAGCTATATCGAGATCACGAATATAAAGAGAATCAAGGACTAATCGGTGAAATCGTTGATTAACATCCACAACTGAAGAAAGAACATCAATCGTATTGAGTTTATGAAAAATGATGAATAAAATTTCATCGGGTAAATCGAGTATGTTAAGATGACTGTATATTTAAATTGTTCATGTCTAACTCATAAAATAAGTTCATGTCAATGTATATGTTGTGGCCGAACTTGGAATTCAGCCCAATTCAGAATTCGTCCAAAATTGTTGGTCGAATTATGATTTTGTCCAGACAAAGTTTAGCCCAATTCAGAATTCGACCAACAATTTTGGACAAATTCTGAATTGGGCTGAATTTCAACTTCGGTCATAACATATATATAGATGTTTGCATTTTCTCATTGCCGTCTATAAGAACAATGACGACGCTCTAAAAAATTAAGACGCTTAGGCAAGACGCTTCGAGTGTGTATTTTGCATTTATTTTGCTTGAGCGTCTAAAATTGGTTATCCGTTGACAGTTGGCACGTCTAGCTAAGCCACATCATACGACTAGAAAAAAGACGCATCACGTGTCTCAGTTAGACGTGTCAAGTGTCAACGGATAACCAATTTTAGACTCTCAAGCAAAATAAATGTAGAATAGACACTTGAAGTGTCTTGCAAGACGCACGGCATTTTTTAGAGTGGAATAAATATCGATACCGTCATGTTGTTCTATGATAAAGAAAACCAACAGACTAAACTAATTTAAAATGAACTAATCAATGGAATTGACATTGTTAGATAGAAAGGTCAATCATGTTTCTTAATTCATTTTGAATTAGCTCAGTCTATTTGACCACCGAATATATGATGATATTTTTCTTTCTACCATATATTTTCACTTATAATTTCTTCATGGTCTATTGGTCAGAGTATCATTCTCTTGTCAAACAAAAGATTTCTTATGTAGCATGCTTCTTACAATACACAATATTACGTTTAGAATAAAATAAAATATATTAATTAGACTTTAGAAATCTAATGATGAATTATCAAGAATCTTGTTGAATAAAAATTTATCGTTGATTTTATTGAATGTGAGGACATTTTACGCAATTTTCTTTCCAAAAAGTGAAAAGATTAAAATTTCGAACTTTTGCTCTTTTAAGATTTAAACAATTGAAAATCTGATTTTTTTCGATATTCTACTTCTTTTTCGCATAATTACATGCCGGGAAGAATGAATGAATTGTATTCGTTCATTTCTTTCCACAATATCAGTCATAATAGTCAAAAGGACAAGTGTTGGTAAGGCCATTTTTTTCGCCCAAAATATTTTATAGGGGGTGTGTGGGTGTGGGTGCATGGGTGTGTGGGTGTGGTTATGGGTGTGGGTGGGTGTGGATGGGTGTGGGTGTGGACGTGTGGATGTGGGTGGGTGTGGGCGTGGGGTGTGACTGTGGCTGAGTGTGGTGTGGGTGTGGATGTAGCTGAGTGCGGTGTGGGTGGGTGTGGATGTGGCTGAGTGCGAGGGGGGGGGGGGGGGGGCTGTGGCTGAGTGCGGTGTGGGTGGGTGTGAGTGTAGCTGTGGCTGCGTGTGGCTATTGCATTTCTCCACATCTACACCTACATCCACACTCACACCCACACCGACACTCACCACACCAGAGAGAGAACCGGTCTGAATTTTTGAAGATCGGTACCGGTACCGGTCTGAAAAGGACAGACCGGACCGGACCCGCCGGTGTACCGGCAATCGACCAGTCTACCGGCGACCGACCGGTCCACCGGTAACCGATCGGTCTATCGGCGACCGGCCGGTCTATCAGTAACCGGCCGGCCTACCGGCAACTGACCGGTCTACCGGTAACTAATGATACATCGATAATGCACAGTAATAGAGAAAGAGTAGTTTAGATATGGAAAATTCGGTTTATCGAGTGACAAAGTTGATGTGCCAAGTTGTATCATATACCTGATATAGAGAAGGAACCAGGCTGAAATTATGACGACGGGTACTGGTACTAGTCTGAAAAGGTCAACCAGTTGGTCTACCGGTTACCGGCCGGTCTACCGGTTATTGGCCGGTCTGAAACTCATACCGGTACCGGTTCCATCTCTGCACCACACCCACACCCTTCTCGATTTCACTATGGAAACATTCAGTTTAACTCTTTATTTTTATTGAAGAATCGTGCTTTTTTCGGAATTTCAATGGGACTTACTCAAATTGGTAAATTCTTAATACTATGATTTGAATATATCTTTGCTTTTCATCGTATATAACAGCAGTTATATAGACACACTCAAGAGAAACGTTTTTCTTTTTCAACAGCTTTGCTGTAACCTTCTTGTGAGACAGACCACTATTGATGTTTGGATACTGCAGCGTTAAAAAATTCTGAAAAATCATCGAACTAGTTCACTTTCAAAAACTAGGTTTTGTGCGAACTTTAATAGTTGTCACTGAAGTTTTTGAACATTCATACCACCGCAATCTTGTCTGACAGTGAAATGCACAAAGAAAAACAACGATGGCAGCGAAACTTTCAAATAGTTGTTTAAGTGGAAGTGTATATTGAGATGCTCAACAAATCTTTGAGACAATGTTTCGAAAGCCGTTTGACATTTTCTAGTCTTGCTGATCAATTATGGAATTCGTTTTCAAGTCACTGAAGCTTAGAAGTGAAGTAAATCAGCTCATCAAGAGACATTTTCTACAAATTAATATGAATTGAAGGTTCACGAAGAACTAATCAGATAGACAGCACATGAGTGACGATCATTTTTCGAATATGATACTCCGCTTTATTTTGATTTAAAGGATATAATAAAGTATATCACTTCGGCGCGCGAATCGTCGATAGCGATCCTAAAGTGTACAGAATGAGATATTTTTTAAAGTAACAAAAACATGAATGCATCTATCCTACAGTTTATGAGTAGCATTCACAGAAGGCGACTTCGTAGTCCTTGTCGAACAGCTGCGGACAGGTATTTTTCTTGAGCTTACAATTACCGCCTCTTTTCCCCAATTCTTTGCATCTGTTATCACAAGAGCGCCAGAGGGGTATATAGTAGCTCCAACCAGTACACCGGCTCCAATTATCCTAGCAGGTGGCTTGAGCCTCTTCAATCATTGTGCCAACAATGAATGCAAGCACGAGGAAAACAACGAACTTTCGTGAGTTAACCATTTGGAAAGTTTGATTTCTAAAAGCAAAATAAGACCTTTGCCATCGTAGAGGATGAAGAGTATTACGAACCTATGCAATTCAATCTAGGAACAAGAATATGTGACGATTGCTTATTACATAAAGTGAAGCAGTTTTTATAGGAGCTCACTTCCATTTTATACTTCATAAAAAGAGAAAATGTTACTACTACTCTCTGTAAATATTTAGTTTCATTACTCGCAAACAGCGATTTCTCTCTTTTTAATAAAAGTAAGCGAAGCACAAGCAGAAGCATATCAGTAATGTGGACCACTTACACTTTTGTGTTAGTTCGCAGTCGAGTGTTCGCCACATTAGCTGTACAAATAGACACTCGGTGCTGTATTCCTTATATTACTTCCGTCTTTACTTCGACGCGCGCAGCGGGTGTGGGATGTGGGTGTTGTCTTCTTTCCGTTCCCATACACCCACACCCACACCCACACCCACCCACACCTCACACCCACACCCTAAATATTACGCATAAAAGTGATAATAAAACGTCACCTGTATTGTAAGTTCTCTATGGCATATCTTTCAACACATAAAATTTTATCTATGAATTAATGTTTAGATTTTACATTGATTAAATAAATCTTTATAAATATAATTATTAATTCAAATAAGATGTTATCAAATTTTAAATTCGAATTTATTCGATGATATTAACACTATTATATTACTCTTTTCTAACGTTGATGGTCTCAATTTTTACACATATAAATAAACTTCACTTAAGAACGCATTGCGACAAAAAAAACTTTTCACTTGAGGGTGTGAGTGTGGAG